TTAGGTGACTGTGAAGAAATTCCCCTATTTGGTTTCAAAATGACAATTTGTATTCACTTGTTTCAGGTTAGCTTTCCCTATGGCATTCGGTAGGTAAAATTACCGAATCGAGACCACCCCGTTGCCCATTATGAATACTTTACCTCCCTGCTTGCTGGGCATGTTCGACAAAAGTTCGGGACTTCCACGTGTTCGCGGCCATTTTAGCTCCTGAACAGCGGTGTATGCCGTCGAGTGTCTGGAACTGAAAACGGACACTCAAATAGGCGAACACAACTGAATCCTCCATACCTCCAGTAAAACCCCACTAAAACTACCGAATGACCGGGCATTTGGTAGAAAGACTCACTAGCAGATGGGGAGCCAAGCGAACCATGGATGGCAGCTGGATGGCTGGCCGTTCGGGAGGTTTTTCATGCGATCTAAGACCGACTGCAGGGCCAGAATTCGTGGAACAGTTTTCCGTTACTTTGCCCGTGCAGTCGGTCAAAACTTCTAAGTCCCATATCTCCCGAATGGCTGAACCGAATTGACTGATTTTTTCATATGTTGGTCCGCCCAGAGTACAGCTATCTGGGGATACCAATATTTGGGGTACATCCAGACTTTGGGGAAATTATGTTCCGTTTTAATTGGGTTAAATGGTTATCTGAGGGGAGGAGATGTATAGTACGTATATTGTTATGATTGGTTGTACAGTTAATTATATGGGAGGCTCCCTTGCAGGGGCAGAATCACATAAAAAGAGAATGCCTGTCAATAAATCTTTAGTTCATCTCTGTACCCTTCTTCTGACTACGTATGCTGTTTGGGAGTTCGTGTGTTTTACTGAGGGAATTATCCAGGGACACTATTGGAACTACACTGGGATTCATCTACCATAACTACCGAACGGAGGGCTATGTTCACTAGGCTCTGGCGGTTCGGGAGGAAACTACCGATTGAGGTTTAAATGCACTTGATTTCCTTACAGTGACCAAGGACAGAAACTTGATGAACACCAATGAGGAGAGGAAGAATTTTAAAAGGAAACAACAAGAGAGAGTTGGGAGAGGTAGGAGGAGAACCAGGAAACCAGACAAGAGTCACATAGACCAAGATTACAGAGGATAAGAAGAAGTTGTAGATGATCAGCAGTGTTGAAAGCAGTAGAAAGGTCAAGGATAAATAGAATAGAGTAGTGCCCACTGAATTCAGAAGCAATTAAGTATTTGGATACTTTGATCTTGGTTGTTTCAACAGAGTAATGAGTGTGGATCAAGACTGCAGTGGGTCAAGCAAAGAGCTGGGTTCAAGAAAGTCTGTCAAACTTGCGTACCCAACTCTCTCAAGGATCTTGAAGGCAAATGGTAAAGGGAGAAAGAGGGGGGGGAAGTTAGGTGGGGAGTTTGGATCTCGGTGGGGTCTTTCTAGAATCAAGGTTATGGTTGCATACTTGAAGGGTGAAGGGAATATATCAGAGGTGAGGGAGAGATTAAATATTTTAGTGAGGGGTGGAGCAAGAGAAGGACATATAGTGTGAATGAGATGTGAGGGAATGGGATTGAGAAAACAGGTGGTAGAGTGGGAGGACCAAAACAGAGCAGAAATCTCTTCTGTTAGAGTGGGCACAAGAGAGCATAGGACAGAGATGGGAGCAAGGTTGGGAGAAGTATTGGTAGAGGTAGGAGAAAGATAAGAGATTTCCTCCCTGACCATAGAAATCTTTTCATGGATATGAGATGCAAAGTTTGTAGTGGTCATACACACTATACATATATAACATGACCCCCAGTATTTGACTGCCTTTGTTTTCTCTGTGGTCTTTTGTACTGCTCAGCAGTCTTTATCTACCTTTAATTTTCTGGTGGTCCAGTGTACTGCTCTGCACCTCCACTCGATGCTAGCAGTGTAATTCCAGCATTCAGAGCATTTCCATGGTAACCTGCAATAATGCTCTGAACAGCAAGAGCCCACGGGATCCCTGCAAGCATTCTAATTTTGGCAGAACTGGTCTCTACCCTCCTTCCCATTTATTTTGGAATTGTGTGATTTTTACTGTGAGCCCCGAGTTCCCTGTTCTGGCCACGACTAAATGTAGACCCAGGGCTCTTCAGTGGCCCACTGAGGGCTCTTCCTTTGGTCATCCCACAACTGAAACCCCTGGTTAGAGTTTATGAGGCCTGAAGTGCACTGACAACTTCTCAAAGTTATCGGTCAAACCACCTTAGTGTGGCTTGACACCTACCTGATTCATGATGAGTGCCTATGTTACATTTAGCCTCAGAGCTGGAGAAGCTAGATACCAATATAGAATGATGACCATAATAATGACTTGAACAAGAAGTTGTACTGCAGAAATTATATCTGAGTTGTCCAGCTCTGTGAAGACTGTAAGTGGGACAGACACCCAGCAGAACCCAGGTAATTGGCAAAGAACACTAACAAAATATTGTAGATTATTCTAGAGAGTGCCAGAGCACTCCTGGCATCATAAAAATAACAGCATGCTATAATAGTTATGGTACTTGAAGTCTGAGGCATCAACATGGAGGGGATGGGAGGGCTTGAGCCTAAATATGGGGCTCTATAACTATGGATCTTTTGGCCTACTCTGCAGTACCAACAGTGCTTCCGTAAAATGCCCCCTCCACCCCCCCGGGCCATCTCCCCAGCAGTCCTTTCTGAACTAGTGGGAAGATCAAAGATCACCCACACCGGCCTGTTACCTCCACTGTAGGGAGGAATGGGAAACCCATAGAGCATATGGCTCCTGTTGTAAGAAATTATGACCCTCTTACAAGGATATTCTTTTAGGGAATGTGTGACAAATAAGACATAAACACAAGTGTATAATAAAATGTATTGTAAATATTCATTTAAGGATACTGTTAGATTTTAAAAGGATATACACAATATACATTATACATTATATCCGGTACATAATCAAAAGCTACATAATAAAAAGCAATACTTAAACATTTAAATGCAGGTCTTCCCCTTGCGCCTTCATCTTGGGTAATCTGGGACAGCCTCTCTTAGTTCACCATGGCCCTGCTTGCTGCGTTGTCCTCTCCAAAGAGAGAGAGAAAGAGAGAGAGCCTTCCTTGGATGTTGTCCTTTTAAAGACTGATTCTTGGAGTAATAAACTACAAGTCCCAGAATCCCTTTTCCCTCCCAAAAGTGGTTTATCCCGCCCTCTTTCTCCAGAGAGTTCTGTCTTTACACAAGTCTTTCCCTTTGATCTCTTCCCTCCAGCTATACTGTAACATTGTGAAAGACCAGTTGATTAGGTTTCTTGGTAGATTGGACTGCTTGGGAAAACACACACTTGCATGGTTACACCTAGATGTCTATTACTCTGATCTCCTGATAACATGCAAGGAATACTGGAGGGATGTAAGCTTTTGTTTTAGCTGGATGTTGTAAAATGCAACTGAAAGCTTTGATCCTTATCACACTGTTATCAAGGAAATGACCCCCACTTGTGAAACCAGTCACATACACAGAAAGTTATATACAATATTGCAGTTTGGAATATCAATTTCTTACAGTCCCCACCTAGAGGGCGAATGACTCAACAAGAAAATGAGCCCTCTCAAAGAAATACAGTATTTGAATTATGTGTGTTTTAAATGATTATGTGTTTTACTGAGACACAAATGACTTGACAACCACATATATTTATAATTTAGGGTACTGCAAGGCATAATTTAGCCAAATCATTGAGGCACTTACAGTTGTCATTTTTCACCATTAATTTGAACTCCTTCAGCCATATCCGTAACCTTTCATTACCCTCATAGGCTCAGCATCACTGCAACCATTAGATTTCACTCCCATCACGCTCAGTTACCTGTGCCACCAGCACTGCTTCCACCACACTGTTCCTTTAACCCTGGCCTTGCTTACTTTGGGCTATTAGGCCTCTGACCTCTGCCCACCATGACACCTGGCGTATTTTCACACCCACAGCAGTTAATTTGCTGTTCACTTACATAGTGTATTAAAGAGACCACACAAGGGAGAAACACAGTTTATTGTTTGGAGTGGGGATCTGAGTGAAGGTGTTTGTGCACGTTCATTGGGAGTTTATTAAAAGTTGTATAGCTGGAGTGGGTTTGTGTTTGAGCCCTTGAGGATGTTTAATAAGGTTTCGATAGGCCCTTGGCTTCTGGAAATTAAAAGATTCTTAGCACAGAAAGTGTGCAGTGTTACATTATGCAAATCACTAGTGGTTTGATTATCATCCTTGTCTCAGTACTACCGTCTGGATTCACAAGTGGTCATCTAAAACATTGTAAACACAAATGTGAGCAAAATGCAACCAGTATCAATGTGTACTAAGAAATACATCCTCATAACAGTATAAAATAATTTACTATAACCTTACTAAAACCATAAATATTTAACCCCTTGTGGAAAACCAAATAGAGCAAATAGAAAATGCTAAATCATATATTGTCACTCACCCCACCTTGACTCAAAAACAATATAAAATATACAAACTGGTCTAATTTGTCTATATGCTATACCCCACCTTGAGAGTATAAATTAAAACAAAAACAAACAAAGAATAACCATTATCATTCTATTGTTCACCCAACCTTGACTCAAGGAAATGTAAAATATATGCAATTATCTGTTTTCCCTATATTCCCTTTAGAGTGTGAAATACAATAAAAAGCATAAGAAAACAACAAAATCAAAGAAGATGGAGAGAGAAAAAAGTAGATTGAATGCTACCATTACTTTCAGTCATTGAAATGTATACAAAGTTTGGCAGCGTGCAATCTAAAGAAAACTGACAATGGTCTGTTGCCTTTCAAAGATTAAAATCAAAAATCGGCTTGAGGCTATTTGTGTTGGTAACCAAATGAAAAAAAAGACAAAAACAAAAATATTTACTGTTGTAAACCAACAGACAGTTACACTATCACATCTCTCCAGTGTGATCAACGTATAAGCCTCACCTTGGCAACAATTCATCTAATCCAGAAATATATAAAATTAGTAATCCAGTATCAAAATACAAAAATAAAACATAGCTGGAAGTGCAGGTGTGCTAAACTAATAAAAACAAAAATAATTTGGAATTTGGACCACCTGACTGTAATGAATGAGTTTAGAGGCTTATCCTTAATATGAAATAAAATATCATAAAACTACATATTAAGGTCCTCTATAAACTGGGACTGTATTTTTCCTGAAATAAATAAACATGTTAAATGGTTGGTCTTCTCACAGATATTTGTCTTCCTTCTCAATTGGCATCATCTCCGTAGTTTTCTAAAAAAACAAACTTCAAGAGAAAGTTAATAACACACAACTAGAATAGGTCATTCAAGAAAAGCTGTATCTGTTATCAGATTCTTTGTGTTAACCATCTCCTTTAATGTACTCAATTGTGCCTTGAGACAATCCAGTTTTTCAAGGAACTCATTTCGTTCACATGTTAGAGAAAGATTTTCTGCCTTTAGTTGTGTATTCTGTGCTTTAAGCACATGGTAGGGAATCCAAGGTTCTGTGAGGGGGATACCATTATTATCTTTTCTCTGTGATCTCCACCTAGGGTGATTATGTTTATTTCCCAGAGTCCATCTATCACACATGGGCCTTTCATGATGAATATGCACATCTGATTTACAGAATTTTTCAATATGTCCCATCCTACCACACCTAAAACATGTAATGGATTTTATATGTGGGGACTTTCTCTGATTGATATATCTGTGAGGTTGGGGACTTTGTATCAATGACACTTGTCTTTTATTTACTTTTTCTTGATTTAGTAAAATTGCTTCAGCCCTTTTTAAGCAATTCAGTATATTTACAAAGGTGTCCTGTGGGGACACAGTTAAACCAATTAACTCTCGAATATCTGGCAGTGTCCTATTAAGTAATGCTTTCTTATATGCATATTCATTGTGATCAGCATGTGCTCCAGTTGGAACAGTCAGTTTGAATAAAACAAATAACCTATTTACAAACCCTTGAACAGACTCCCCTCTCTTCTGCGCACAATTACCAAAAGCAAAATGATGATTTATTTCCTCTAGACCAAGTGCGTTTAATAACTCTTTGATAAGTTGTTGCTTGGTTCTAGGTTCTATAAATATCTCATGTGGCAGACTTACTCTTAGTGACTGGTCTGTACTAGCAATTATAACATCAAAAATATCCAATTCATTTAAGTTCCTGTGGATTTTTTCAAATTGATCAATTTTTAACATTATATCTACTGGATCATCATCCAAGCGTATACATCCCAGTTCTTTGCTCAGTGCAATAACCTCTGTATGTTTTAAGGAATGGGTCACAGTAGTTTTATGTAGTACATTTCCCTGTGCATCCACCATGTGCTCTGTAGAGACTGGTGCCATTTTAGCAGGAATACTGCACTCACGATTACTATAATTATTATGAAACACCTCCATCTTTGTTGTACACAAACCTCCACAATTGGTTTTCAGCCCATATTTAGTAGCAGCAAAACCATTTCTTTTTCTTAGTTTACATTTTAAATCATCACTTTCTTTAAGGCACACAGAATGATCAGCCTCTTTCTGGCTGCTGGAAGCAAGGATTCTAATAGCACCCTCTGCATCCTTCAGCCTTTCTACAAGCTGCTCATTACAACTGTGCAATTCCTCATTTTCAAGACGCATTTGCTGACTACCTACACACAAAGCAGCAGCATTTTGCGCAGACAGTTTAAAACCTTCCACTTCATTCTTTAAGCTCAAAACATCTGCCTCTAATTTCTCTTTTTGCCTATTTAAAGATTTATACTTCTCCGCAATCCAACGGGCAGCATAAATCAAAGCAATTTTACCACTAGATTTGGACAATTTCTTTTCAATAATTGCCCTGGCCACATAATCCTGAGCATTAAGCCACGGATCTAATGCACCATCCATACATTTAATTATTGCTTCCGGATTAGACACCTTAGCAATCTTTTTCAATAAACTCTCCATCATTGACAACGCACAATTCACTGAAATGTCTATACACAATATCTGAACAGTATCCAAAAGTAAATATACAATCTATACAATTATGAATATGCTCATAAATCACACTAAATCCCTCCTACCTCGGCTCGCCAATTTGTAAGAAATTATGACCCTTTTACAAGGATATTCTTTTAGGGAATGTGTGACAAATAAGACATAAACACAAGTGTATAATAAAATGTATTGTAAATATTCATTTAAGGATACTGTTAGATTTTAAAAGGATATACACAATATACATTATACATTATATCCGGTACATAATCAAAAGCTACATAATAAAAAGGCAATACTTAAACATTTTAAATGCAGGTCTTCCCCTTGCGCCTTCATCTTGGGTAATCTGGGACAGCCTCTCTTAGTTCACCATGGCCCTGCTTGCTGCGTTGTCCTCTCCAAAGAGAGAGAGAAAAAGAGAGAGCCTTCCTTGGATGTTGTCCTTTTAAAGACTGATTCTTGGAGTAATAAACTACAAGTCCCAGAATCCATTTTCCTTCCCAAAAGTGGTTTATCCCGCCCTCTTTCTCCAGAGAGTTCTGTCTTTACACAAGTCTTTCCCTTTGATCTCTTCCCTCCAGCCATACTGTAACATTGTGAAAGACCAGTTGATTAGGTTTCTTGGTAGATTGGACTGCTTGGGAAAACACACACTTGCATGGTTACACCTAGATGTCTATTACTCTGATCTCCTGATAACATGCAAGGAATACTGGAGGGATGTAAGCTTTTGTTTTAGCTGGGTGTTGTAAAATGCAACTGAAAGCTTTGATCCTTATCACACTGTTATCAAGGAAATGACCCCAACTTGTGAAACCAGTCACATACACAGAAAGTTTTATACAATATTGCAGTTTGGAATATCAATTTCTT